TCTCTGGGTGGTGCTGCTCAGCCCCTTGTCTCTGGGTGGTGCTCAGCCCTTCATCTTTGGGTGGTGCTGCTCAGCCCCTCGTCTCTGGGTGGTGCTGCTCAGCCCCTCGTCTCTGGGTGCTGCTCAGCCCCTCATCTCTGGGTGGTGCTGCTCAGCCCCTCGACTCTGGGTGGTGCTGCTCAGCCCCTCGACTCTGGGTGGTGCTGCTCAGCCCCTCGACTCTGGGTGGTGCTGCTCAGCCCCTCGTCTCTGGGTGGTGCTGCTCAGCCCCTCGTCTCTGGGTGCTGCTCAGCCCCTCGTCTCTGGGTGATGCTGCTCAGCCCCTCGTCTCTGGGCCCCTCCTGTGTGCCAGCTGCTCTGTATGGAAGTCTGCTGGACACCCTGCCCTCAGGAGCCTTCCACAGAACCTCCCGCAGGTGGCCAGACCCAGGTCAGCAGAGTTCCTGCCATCAGCTAGCCTCAGCCCCCAGGCAGCCCAGGGGTTCCCACGCCGCAGCCCCAGCACGGAGCTGCTCCAGGGCTGTCGGGGCCTGCTCCCCCCCACCCCCCACCCCACCCTCCCCACCCTGCCTCATCCGCTGCCCAGAAAACAAAGTTGCTGTTACGGCTAAATGGTTACCGTACTGCTGAGGTTGTCTGCAAAGCGTGCTATGCATTGGTAACAAGCTGGGTCTGAAGGTTGTATTCTGTGACGGCGACATTATCCGCCACTCACACACAGCATGGCCGGCTGTCCTGCCATCCTGGGTCCTCCCATCACTGTCAGGGCAGCCGTCTGCTTCAGTGCTGTCCCGGTGGGGGGGGGAGCAGTCATGGGGCACACACTGAGGGGGGGCAGCAGTTGTGGGGCGCACACTGTGGGGGGCAGCAGCCATGGGGCACACACTGCGGGGGGGGGACCTGGGGGCTGGGAATCAGCATGGCTTCGCCCCCACGAGCAGTCCTCTGCCTAGGCATCTTCAGCAGCCACAGCAGCCTTGGACGGAGGTCTCCTCCTCTTGATGACCAGGGAGACAGGCCCCTCCGGCAAGGCCTTGATGACGCTCCAGACCTCGTACCGCGTGAGGCCCTGTGTGGCAGTGCCAGCCACGCGCAAGACTTCATCTCCCAGCTGGACTGTGTCACTCTGCTCTGAGGTGGTCCCTGAGATGAAAAGGTGACCATGGGCTCCGAGGACCAGGCCAGCCCCCACCCTGCTCCAACAAGCCCATGGGCTCTGAGGGCCAGGCCGGCCTCCGCCCTGCTCCAACAAGCCCATGGGCTCTGAGGGCCAGGCCGGCCCCCACCCTGCTCCAACAAGCCCGTGGGCTCTGAGGGCCAGGCCAGCCTCCGTCCTGCTCCCACAAGCCCGTGGGTTCTGAGGGCCAGGCCGGCCTCCGCCCTGCTCTGACAAGCTTGGCGTGTCTAAAAGGCGGCGTCTGTAAGCAGTGGCTCCCGAGGCAGGTGCGGGGCTTCCGCACTCTGTGGCCCCTAAAAAGCTACAGCCCGCGCTGTGCCCAGGACCTGGTGGGGCCTTCCACCGGGGATGCTGTGTCCCTGCCGCGGGCCCTCCGTAAGTGGATGCTGCGCCATGCTGTGTGAACGGCAGTGCGAACGCTGGGCCCTGCGTCCCTTGATGTTAGAGCTGCTGCGGACTCTAGACCCACCTCCGGAGGGGGGACGGGCCCCTCTCCAAACTGAGGTGAGGGGCCTGCCTGCCCTGAGCATGTGAACTCCCACGGGGCCAGGCCACAGGCCGAGGCAGGGCCGGGGTGCTTCGGGTCCGTGAGCACCCCAGACACCGCCGTATCCGTCGCCTCCTCTCATGAGGAAGGCCCTGTCCAGTGCTCCTCTCAGCCTGCCCCGTGGCCCAGGGCTTCCAGCGCGAGCAGCGGGAAGTCAGGGTGGAGTAGGGGGCGTTACAGGCCATCCCCAGAGGTGTCACAGGAAGCCCCAAATCTAGGTGACCCCCCTCCTTTTACTCTCTTGTATCCCAGTTCATGACAGGTAAGGTGCCAGAATTACAGAGGCACTAGCAGTGAGGGGTTCAGGACGCAGTAGGGCAGGCGGCTGTGTGGACGGGCACAGCGCCGGCCTCCGGCTTTACCCTGGGTCACAGGCAGGCAGGACGCACAGCGCCGGCCTCCGGCTTTACCCTGGGTCACAGGCAGGCAGGACGCTCAGCGCCGGCCTCCGGCTTTACCCTGGGTCACAGGCAGGCAGGCGGCCGTGTGGGACAGCCTCTGGCTTTACCCTGACATCTTGTTCACCATGGGCCTTTTTAAACATTCATTTGGGGTTCTAGACTGGGTACTACTGGCCTTTATCACTGCATATTTGGGGATCCCTTCAGTTTTGTGCCTCAAGGCCTCTGCAAAACTGAACCCACACAGACTTCAGTCCCATAAAGGGACCCAGCCAAAGAGAGGTCAGGAGAGGCCGGAGAGCAGCTCAAGAGCCAAGGCCACAGGCGCTGCAGGCAGGCTCTGTGTGGTGCAGACGCCCCACCTGGCCACGTGCCCACCAGCTACACACACACACACACACACGCCCAGACACACACCCACGCGGACATACCCATGCCTGGACACACACCCAGGCCCAGCCACACACCCACGCAGACACACCCACGCCTGGACACACCCACGCCTGGACACACCCACGCCTGGACACACACCCAGGCCCAGCCACACACCCACGCAGACACACCCACGCCTGGACATACCCACGCCTGGACACATGCCCACACGGGACACGCCCACGCCTGGACACACCCACGCGGGACACACCCACGTGGGACACACCCACGCCTGGACACACCCACGTGGGACACACCCACGCCTGGACACACCCACGCCTGGACACACACCCACGCCTGGACACACCCACACCTGGACACACCCACGCGGGACACACCCACGCCTGGACACACACCCACGCCTGGACACACACCCACGCCTGGACACACCCACGCCTGGACACACACCCACGCCTGGACACACCCACGCCTGGACACACCCACGCGGGACACACCCACGCCTGGACACACCCACGCCTGGACACACACCCACGCCTGGACACACCCACACGGGACACACCCACGCCTGGACACACCCACGCCTGGACACACACCCATACGGGACACACCCACGTGGGACACACCCATGCCTGGACACACCCACGCCTGGACACACCCACACAGGACACACCCACGCCTGGACACACCCACACCTGGACACACACCCACGCCTGGACACACACCCACGCCTGGACACACCCACGCCTGGACACACCCACACCTGGACACACACCCACGCCTGGACACACCCACGCCTGGACACACACCCACGCCTGGACACACACCCACGCCCAGCCACACACCCACGCCTGGACACACCCACACCTGGACACACACCCACGCCTGGACACACCCACGCCTGGACACACGCCCATGCCCAGCCACACACCCACGCAGACACACCCATACCTGGACACACACCCATGCAGGCACACCCACACCTGGACACACACCCACGCCTGGACACACCCACACAGGACACACCCACACGGGACACACCCACACCTGGACACACAACTAGCCAGCAAGGAACAGTGAGACTAGCACCCACCTTTGAAAATCCTGTTGACGGTGAGGGGCCTGTCCCCGAGCAGGGAGGCCCTCCCGCCTTCCAGGCTGAAGCCCAGCCCCACAGAGGTCTTCTCCAGGGTCATGGTGAGGACGGTGGCCCCTGCTGTGGAGGAAACCGCAGGCCTGGCTGGAGGTCCACGCATGCCCACCCCGGCCGCTCACGCACGCGGCCCCCTCACCGGGCGGACCAGGCGGCCCGCATGGCTGCGCTGTGATCGCCCGTGTGGAGCTCCCCCAGTGTGGGGCGACAAGACCGGCTCCAAAGGGTCAAGGCCTCCTCTGACCGGGAGAGCTTACCGGGCTCTGCAGAAGCCTGGCTGGCCGCCGAGCCTGTGCCGTGCAGGTCCGGCGTGGGCCCCTCCGCCGGCCTGGTGACAATCACGGCCTGCCGCGGGTCCCGAGCCTGGCGGAGGACGGCCAGGGCGTCGCTGTGCGTGGCCTCTTTGAGGGACTTGCCGTTGATGGACAGAACCTCGTCGTCCTTCTGGATTGTGCCCTCCCGGGAGGCCAGGCCCCCAGGGAAGACTCTGTGAACCTGCCGGCCCAGCAGTGGGTGTGGAAGCCGCCCAGCAGGCCTGCACCCCCCAGACCAGACCTGACTGCCAGTAACCAGCCCAGAGGGAGGCGGCGCAGATTTGGGGTCTCTGGGTCCCAGGACAGGGCTGCTGGCAGGCCAGCGGTCCTTCCCTCCTGCCCCAGGGCAGAGCCCAGGGGCAGACCAGCCCGGGCCAGAGTTCCTCCTAACTTCCTTCCCCACCAAAGTTCCACTTCCACCTTCTTCACCAAGTTCCGCCTCCCTCCCTCCCTCCCCGGAGCCCCGCCTCCCCCTCCCCCCCGGAGCCCCGCCTCCCACCCACCCTCCCCAGAGCTCCACCTCCCTCCCCCCCCCCCCCCCCCCTCCCTCCCCAGAGCCCCGCCTCCCTCCCTCCCTCCCCCAAGCTCCACCTCTCCCTCAGTTCCCCACGGTCCCGGCCTGGCCGGCCCTCACCGCTGGCCCACTCACCCTGATCACCTTGTTCTCCAGGTCCACACCCCCTGCCAGGCTGAACCCGAGGCCGACTCCTTCCTCCTTGTGCAGAACCGTGACTCGGATGCTGTCTAGTTTCTGCAGACAAGAACACCTGTAACAATCCCGTGCCCGCACGAAAGTGCACACTCCCCGGCCCGCACGGGGGCTCGCACGCCTACGCTCCCCTGCCTGGGCACAGGCTGTAACGCTTCCTCCAAACGGGACGCTGACCGCTGACCGTGATGACGTGACCATCTCCCTCTCCACTGCAGGACACCACGCCTCCTTGGACGGCTCGGGGGCTATGCTTCAACCCTCAGGCCCATCCCTGCGGCCCGGGTGGCCACGCCCCCCCACGGCGCCCTGGGGGTGGGGGGGACCTACCTTCAGCGAGGCCTCGCCCCCCACGGTGCCCTGGGGGTGGGGGGGGACCTACCTTCAGCGAGGTCTCGTCCAGGGCGCTCACTTCCTCCTTGAGCTGTCTCAGTTCCGCCGGGCTCAGCAGGGCGATGACCGACGGGCCGGGCTGAGAGGGCTGAGAGGCGCAGCGGGCCTCCGCGGGCGTGGCCAGCCCCTCCGTGTATCCTCTCAGCTCAGAAAGGCTTGACGGGAGGAAGCAGTGCACGGTGTGAATAACAAGTCCTTAAAGCTGGCATTGGCACCGCGCCCGCACGGACGCAGGGCCAATCGCTCCGCGCAGTTTATTCAGGCAACAAATCTGTTCTCAGCGGCACAATAACAACGGATAGAACTTAACCGGGGCAGAGATGGTGGGTCAAGGAGGGAGACCAAGAAACCCTCCAAACTCTGCATGGGGGACGGGCACGGGAAAGGAGGATTCGGGTGAGGGAATGGGATGAGAGGAAGAGGAGTCTGGGGTGGGGAAGGGTGTGGGGAGCACCCTCAGGCTACAAAGGCTTCTGCACAAAAATGAGATGGCAGCCCAGGCCCGCGGCTCAGCCCGGCACTGCGCCTGCGTGGCGGGAACCCATGGTCAGAGCTGGCACTGGCCTGGGGCTGGAACCGACGCAGACGACCTCACGGCCGGCCCAGGGCTGACCCCGAGGCACAGGGAAATGGTCCTGCTGGGGAAGGCCTCCCGAGGAAGCCTGCTCCTCCAGAGGTCAGGGCCTTGCTCCAGGACCTCCCTGCCTCCCTGGCCCTGTCCACCCCCTGCCATCCCTCTGGAGGCCAGGAGTGAAAACAGGGGTACTATACACACATGTGTGTACACACACACACACCAGAAAAGAACCACCTTTGGGCTGGTAGAGCCGAGCAAACCTCAAACTGACACATAGGATTATAACCTACAACAAGGAGAAAGGAGAGACGAGACAGAAGACCGGGGATGTGGACCTCACTTGAGGGAGAAGCTGGTGTCCGGCGCCGCGGCGTTGGCAGGCCCGTCTGCAGGGGCGTCTTGGCTGGGGGCCGGCGGGGGGGCTGCCCCTTCCGGGGGGAGGCGGGTGGCCTGGCTGCCGGGGGCGGGGGTCGCCACGCACAGCAGGGACTTCATGACGGCGGAGGACACCTGGCTGCTGATGGCGTAGAGCCTACCGGACCTCCCGTCCCCCGCCGTGGTCTCACAAGACTTGGTCCTGGCCAGGGGGAAGCTCCGTGCCCGCTGGCTTGGCATCTTGAGGGCTGGGCCTCGGACGTCCTCGGCCTCTGAGGACAGCGGCCTCGGGCGGGAGCCGGAGTCCCGGGTTTCCCGGCCAGGCGGCCGAGCTGGGGTCGGGGACGCAGGCACAGCGGGGTCACCAGATGGTGAGGCTTCCGGGAGGCCCTGGGGCGGCTGCTCTGGCTGCTTGTGCGTGGCAGCGAGCGGGGCTCCTGGCCCCCAAAGCCCAGGCGGCCGCCCATCCTCAGGCTTCCCGGAAGGGCTGGGGGCCTCCCCAGAGGAGGGGTGGAGGCTCAGTCTCTGAGCTCTGTCAGGTGTCTGAGAGGAGGCCAGGTTTTCAAAGGAGCTGATCCTCTGCTTGATGGAGGTGGCGGGGGCTGGGGCACCAGTCCCCTGGGGAGGGGGGGTGGGCGCTGGCCGGCCGGCCGGGGGGACTTCCTGCCGCCTCCGCAGGCCGCTCAGGCTCTGGTGGAGCCAGGCTGGCTTGGGGGCCACGGGGGGCCCTCTCTTCACACCGCTGCTGTCCGCTGGCGTGTGGACCTTGGGCGCGCCGTTGGCAGTGTCCGCCGTGGGCAGGGCCTCACCGGGGTGGCCCCGCGTCCCGTCCTCTCCGCCCAGCCCGTCGCCGGGCTGCCGTGGCACGCGGCTGTGGCTGTTGCTCATGACGGGGGTAAATAAGTTCTTGATGCAGTCGGAAATCCTCACCCACGGGTCTTCGGCTGTGGGCTCAAAGCCGTGGTCCACCCGCACCTGCCGCCTCAGCACCCGGTGCTTTAGTGGAGACACGCCGGCCACTGTGAGCAGAGACAAAGCCAGGGCCGAGCCTTACACACGGGAGCAGAGACAAAGCCAGGGCCGAGCCTTACACACGCCAGCAGAGACAAAGCCAGGGCTGAGCCTTACACACAGGAGCAGAGACAAAGCCAGGGCCGAGCGTTACACATGCCAGCAGAGACAAAGCCAGGGCTGTGTGTGCTTGCTTCCTTCCTAAATTCTAGCTGCAAAGCGACGTGGTAAGGACCATGGAGGAGACATGGAGGCCACAGACACCACAGTGAGCCCTGCTGGCTGCAAGGGGCGGCCCCGGGCCCCATCACCGACCCCGGTGCCCACGGACAGGATCCAGGATTGGAGGGGGAGTTAGTTGCTAGCGTGCTACTGGGGGCCCTGGGACGGCCCACCTCGGCGTGCCACGGAGGACTCCAGTGCTCAATAAGGCAGGAGATCCTCTGAGGACAGAGCCTGGGAGGGACCCGAGGCCCAGTAGATACAAGTCATACCCAATGCAAAAGCCAAAGCAATTATTTTACCTTCCAAAGCTCTTCAGCCACCGGTTGGCTGCCATATTTGTTATGGATTGCCAGGCCATTCCAAAGCAAAGTAAGCCAGGCACCAGTGGCTCACACCTGTAATCCTAGCTAATCGGGAGGTAGAGATCTGAGGATCTCGGTTCAAAATCAGCTGGGGCAGGAAAGCATGTAAGACTCTTACGTCCAATTAACTACCTAAAAGCCAGTAAAAGCGTGGCTCAGAGTGGTAGCATGCTAGCCTTGAACACAAAAGCTTAAGGACAGTACCTAGACCGAGTTGCAGCCCCAGGACAAAACAAAACAACACAACCACTACCCAGCAGTGAGGAAGAAGCAGACGGGGCCCGCTGGCCGACCCCGCTCTGCACCCATCAGCAGCTGCCTGCCTCTCTGGGCCAGCAAGCTCCTGTGCCACGCACACGTGTGGACAGGCCCGTGCTCAGATGGCGATCCGCTGGCTCAACCCCAAGGCCCAGGAAAACAAAACCTGCGCACCGATTGGTGACAGCACCCTGGAGCCTGGACTCCACTCCTGAGATCTGACTGGACAAGCCCGGGACGGGGCCGGGGGCCGGGGCTCCCGCTGCCCGCCGGCGTGTGCCACCCCCCCACACACACAGGGCATCGAGCCGGCATCCATCTGCCTCTGATGAGACTGCCGGACTCTTCCCAGGTGCCGGGGGTCGCCCCTGCACCCTGGCAGCCAAGAGGCAAGGTCATCCTGCGGCCTTCCGCGTTTGCCGCAGGCCGCCTATCCGTGGCCACAAGGAGGCCACGGGGTCTGTGGAGAACACGGAGCGCCAGCTCGCACCCCAGGGTGAGGAGCACAGGCCCCTCCTCCCCTGGGCCCGGACGCCAGCTCTCCAGGAAGCAGACCGCACAGCATCTCACCATCAGAGAGACCACCGGAGGGACCGGAAGGACCCCGGGGGGACTGGCTGACCTCTGGCCCTCTTGGGTCTGGGGGAGGGGAGGGGAGACCCCGCCTCCCCACCCCTCCAGGACCCAGGACGTAGGGATGAAGTCCGTCCGCCCCCCGCTCTGCACTGAAGAGCTGCGAGCGGGAAGGAGCCCTTTGCTGGGACCTCGAGCCAACGGCCACCTACGCGTGTCCTGCGCCAACAGGCAGGACACCGCGTTCTCCAGCTGTTCTCCAGTCAGGGTGACTGAGGGAACGGGGTGAGGGGGCCGCGGTGTTGGGGGGGCCACCGTGACGGGGGGGCCGCTGTGTTGGGGGGCCTGCTGTGTCGGGGGGGCCGCTCCGCCGTGTTGGGGGGCCGCTGTGTTGGGGGGCCCGCCGTGTCGGGGGGCTGTCGTGTCTGGGCCTGCTCCAGGGGTGGTGTGGGAGCACGTTCCGTCCCCAGCTCCCCGTCTCACGTGCTTTCCGCAGGGCACTCAGGTGCCAGGTGTGAGCACACGGGCCTACCGCTGCGTTTCTAGGCCGGCGCCACTGTGGGCAGCAACCCCCACTGCCAACGCTGGGGCTCCCTGTCCATCAGCCCCAGTGGTCGGCAGGCCAGCGCAGCATGTGGGCTCCAGCCCAAGGTGCTCCCCCACTTTCCCAGTGGAGCCATCTCTGCCCGGCCTTCCTCCTGGGGAGGGGCTGGCGCTTACCTGGGCCGGCCCTTCTCCCTGGCTTGCCCTCCGTGGGGGGCGCAGTCTGGGGGCCGAGTTCGGGTCCTGGGCCGCAGGCAGTGTCTCTCCCCACAGTGTCTTCCTGCTGAGGTGCTGCAGGCAGCGTCTCCCCGGCTTCCTGCGGTGTAAACAGGAAGCGTGAGGGGCCTTCGCTGGGGCAGAAGGAGGGACAGGAGCGCGGGCAGCGGCAGCCAGCGGCACCGCACCTCACAGAGCGCGTCCTTCCCGCCTCTGTGTGCCCAGTGGTCCCGCGGGCCCCAAGGGTGTGCCCCTGCCCCCACCACACAGCCCCAAGGAACAGATGCAGGAGCACCCCGGGGCCTGCCCACGGACGGAGGAGGAGAGCGGACGGCTCCCAAGGACCTGAGCACGGACATCTCTGTCCTCTGCTGTCTCCATCAGTGTGCGCAGCAAAGGCCCACACAGAGCACCTTCATTCTGTGTCGGTGTGCTGAGTGTGCGTGTGTGTGTGTGTGTGCCATGTGTCTGTGTACTGTGTGTGCTGTGTTAGTGTGCCGAGTGTGTGTGTGTGTGCCCTGTGTGTCTGTGTACCGTGTGTGTGTGTGTGCACTGTGTGTGTGCACTGTGTGTGTGCACTGTGTGTCTGTGTGCTGTGTGTGAGTGTGCACTGTGTGTCTGTGTGCCGTGTGTATGTGTGCACTGTGTGTCTGTGTGCCGTGTGTGTGTGCACTGTGTGTCTGTGTGCCGTGTGTGTGTGTGCACTGTGTGTGTGCCCTGTGTGTGTGCCCTGTGTGTGTGCACTATGTGTGTGTGCCCTGTGTGTGTGTGCACTGTGTGTCTGTGTGCCGTATGTGTGTGTGCACTGTGTGTCTGTGAGCCCTGTGTGTGTGTGCATTGTGTGTCTGTGATCCCTGTGTGTGTGCACTGTGTGTGTGCCCTGTGTGTGTGTGCACTGTGTGTGTGTGCACTGTGTGTCTGTGTGCCCTGTGTGTGTGTGCACTGTGTGTCTGTGTGCACTGTGTCTGTGTGCACTGTGTGTGTGTGTGCACTGTGTGTCGGTGTGCACTGTGTGTGTGTGCACTGTGTCTGTGTGCCCTGTGTGTGTGTGCCCTGTGTGTGTGTGCACTGTGTGTGTGTGCACTGTGTGTCTGTGTGCCCTGTGTGTGTGTGTGTGCCCTGTGTCTGTGTGCCCTGTGTGTCTGTGTGCCCTGTGTGTGTGTGCCCTGTGTGTGTGTGCCCTGTGTGTGTGTGCCCTGTGTGTGTGTGCACTGTGTGTGTGTGCACTGTGTGTCTGTGTGCCCTGTGTGTGTGTGTGTGCCCTGTGTCTGTGTGCCCTGTGTGTCTGTGTGCCCTGTGTGTCTGTGTGCCCTGTGTGTGTGTGCCCTGTGTGTGTGTGCCCTGTGTGTGTGTGCACTGTGTGTGTGTGTGCACTGTGTGTCTGTGTGCCCTGTGTGTGGTGTGTGCCCTGTGTGTCTGTGTGCCCTGTGTGTGTGTGTGCCCTGTGTCTGTGTGCCCTGTGTGTCTGTGTGCCCTGTGTGTGTGCACTGTGTGTCGGTGTGCCCTGTGTGTGTGTGCCCTGTGTGTGTGTGCACTGTGTGTCTGTGTGCCCTGTGTGTGTGTGCCCTGTGTGTCTGTGTGCACTGTGTGTCTGTGTGCACTGTGTGTCTGTGTGCACTGTGTGTCTGTGTGCACTGTGTGTGTGTGTGCACTGTGTGTCTGTGTGCCCTGCCCTGTGTGTGTGCCCTGTGTCTGTGTGCCCTGTGTGTCTGTGTGCCCTGTGTGTGTGCACTGTGTGTCGGTGTGCCCTGTGTGTGTGTGCCCTGTGTGTGTGTGCACTGTGTGTCTGTGTGCCCTGTGTGTGTGTGCCCTGTGTGTCTGTGTGCACTGTGTGTCTGTGTGCCCTGTGTGTGTGTGCACTGTGTGTCTGTGTGCCCTGTGTGTGTGTGCCCTGTGTGTGTGTGCACTGTGTGTCTGTGTGCCCTGTGTGTGTGCACTGTGTGTCTGTGTGCTGTGAGTGTGTATACACTGTGTGTCTGTGTGCCGTGAGTGTGTATACACTGTGTGTCTGTGTGCCCTGTGTGTGTGCACTGTGTGTCTGTGTGCCGTGTATGTGTATACACTGTGTGTCTGTGTGTGTGCACTGTGTGTCTGTGTGCCCTGTGTGTGTGCACTGTGTGTCTGTGTGCCGTGTGTATACACTGTGTGTCTGTGTGCCCTGTGTGTGTGTGCACTGTGTCTGTGTGCCCTGTGTGTGTGCACTGTGTGTCTGTGTGCCATGTGTGTGTGCCCTGTGTGTGTGTGCCCTGTGTATGTGCACTGTGTGTCTGTGTGCCATGTGTGTGTACACTATGTGTCTGTGTGCTGTGTGTGTGTGTGTGCACTGTGTGTCGGTGTGCCCTGTGTGTGTGTGTGCACTGTGTGTCAGTGTGCCGTGGGTCAGTGTGTCGGTAATTTCGGTATGCCCTAGGTGTGTGGTCAGCCTGTCTATGATGGACAGCTGGACGCCCGTGAGCCAGCCAGGCTTCTGCCCTAGCACTGCTCCTCTCCGCGTGGTCCTGTGTACTGGCTTCCCTCTGCAAAGCCAGGGGACGGCAGGTCTGCGTGGCACAGCTGTGCATGGAGCAGGGAGCCTGCACACAGCCCGGCCTGGGCACAGAGGAGCAGCCCCGCCCCTGCACACAGCCCCGCCCCTGCACACAGCCCCGCCCCTGCACACAGCCCCGCCCCTGCACACAGCCCCGCCCTGCACACAGCCCCGCCCTGGGCACAGGAGACAGCCCCCACCTGGGCACAGAGGAGCAGCCTCTCACCTGGACACAGAGGAGAGCCCTGCACCTGGGCACA